AATTAAAGTTAAACATAAAATGTTAAATTAAAAATAAAATTGAAAATCAAAATTAAAATAAAATTATTTTATTAATTAATAATTTTATTATTTAAAAGTTTTAAGAGTTCTACTGTTATAGCAGGCGTATTGAAACAAAATCCGTCGAAAAATGGCGGGAAAAGTCAAGCTCTGATTGGCTGCAGCAGATAAACATGGCAAGAGCACACCATGTCTACTTGTATCATGCTCTCTGATTATACTCTGTGACGTAACGCTTGACAGTTTTGTTTACAAAAAATTAACAGAGAATAATTTTTATTTAATATATTATGGCAGGTGAAGTGGTTGTTGATGCATTACCATATATTGACCAAGGATATGATGAGCCGGGTGTACGAGAAGCGGTAAATAAGAATTACATTCATTTTTTTTTTGCAATCTAACAGAATAATAGTAATTCGATAGGTTATGCTCTGAAAGAAATAATTTTATTAAGAAAAATTCTCGTGCAAATTTATTTTATTTCATGAAATATTTGGGATTTAATGTTGTTCCTTAGGCGTTGGCGATGGTGGAGGAAGAGACACGACGTTACAGACCGACGAAAAATTATTTGGAACACCTACAACCTTTATGCATAACTGCTTTTGAGACAGAGGTATTGAAGCATGAATTTGAGAGGATGCAGAATCGCTTACCGATGGAAGTGCTTAGTATGAAACGTTATGAATTACCACCGCCTCCATCTGGTAAGTTAAACGATTTAACTGCATGGAATGAGAGCGTGGAGAACAGCAGCGCGCAATTGGAGCATCAAGCTACTAGGTAAACAAAAGTTACATTTGGTTAAAGATTTAAAATTTGGATGTTCACAAGCTATAAACACTCATATATTTATAAGTGCTTTTCTAGGTTTTTCTAGATTCCACTGGCTTAAACGAAAATATAATATCATGATCTCGATGTCATTATTAAATCAATGAATGCTTATAAACGTCAAAAAGAATGATATAAATGTTGTTTATAAACACTCTTTTTAGAATCCAAAATTGAAAGAAAACAAGAGTTTTTTTAGTATATGTGGCAGGGAGGATTGACAATTTTTTGAGTATAGCATACCAACCTGAGTTTACAGTACACTGCAAACAGTCACATACAGTCACACATTACATACACAGGAATGCAAATATGTATTTCCAATTTTGTATATCTCAACCATTGATACTGGCCGAATAATTCTCTGTATAAAAGACTATGGTGTCTATTCTTCGGAGTCAACCCTCCCTCTATTGAAAGAGTTCGAGAAAAAAAATAAGCATGTGAACGTCGAAATCAAATGCAACTTAGGACTTATTGACATACCATTTGTCTTTTAGATTTTTGTACTTTTTTCTATACTTTTGTATAATTTTAGAATCTGTAATTTGGAATTGATGATGGATTACGGTTGCGAAGCATGGAAATCCTACTTGGAAGTACTAGTTCAGTTGCTAGGTCATGCTCAGAAACAGCTGCAGACGCTGAGAAAAAAGATTCAGGAGGTCAACTGGCAGAGGAAATCAATGCAGACTCAAGGAGGCGACAAATTGAGAGCTCTCGAAGCACAGTGGGTCAGTTTGGTGTCGAAAAACTACGAGATCGAGCAGGTTTGCGTGCACTTAGAGGAGGAGATGCAAAGGGTATTTTTGAATAAAGAGGCTGTGGAGATTAATGATGTACCAGCGGTGGAAGGGCCTGATGTGCCAGGTAACAATGCAACAGAAACGATGGCATTGCAAATGCAGCAACAGGAAAATCAGGATGTTTAGTGTAATATAAACTTTTATGTATATAAATAAAAATAAATAATTTATACAGAGATTTTTAACAATGGATATCGTATCCACAAAGAGCATTCGTGGACGTATTATGGGGTATATCTATAATAAAGCAGAGTTTATTTCATTATAGTTTACACATATCACACTTGTGGTTTATGCTTTTACAATATACATATGTACACGACGGTTATCGTTAGCGCGATACACTACTAATTAATTATTTGTAATTTACGACGTGCTGAAGGATCTGTTTTATAATAGGCTGTTTGCGTTGTTCCGTGTATCGACACAATTGCACACATTGCGTAGGCCTAGCTGAATTTCTTTTTTTTTTTATTTTATTTTATTTAGGACAACAGCAATATATATCATGATATAATTACAAAGAGCATAGCTAAGCGCCTTTACTTTCGACTTCGGTGTAAAAAAATACGTGTGTGACTTCGATCTCCATTTTTGTGTTCAATCATATCCTCTTGCGACAGGATAGATGTTAAAAGTAATTATTGGGTTACTAAACTTGCATCATTTTTGCCATTTAATCACTCAACTGTCATAAAGATGTTTCGCTAGCGCCAGAACTTTGAGACTGCAATGCCATACTTCCCTTGTAGCCCATTGATTCTTCCTCCAATAGAGCTATTCGTTGCTTCAATGTTTTCACCTGCAAGGGAAAATTAATTTAAGAAAATTAATTTAAAGAATGCAATATACATCTGATATGTCTGATGCGAGATCTGTTTGTTAATGTAAACTATGATTTTAAAACGCGTTGTAGTAAAAAATGGATATATTTTTTTATTATGTTTATTATTATGCAAAATATAAAATCTAAATAACTTATGTTCATATATAAGATTTTTTGAGATTTATCCCTTAATATATATTAGCATATATATATTGGCATAATTAATTTTAAAATATGCAATTTTCTTTCTTCTTCTGAAAAATTTAAAATTTTTTATTTACGTCACTTTTCTAATGAAAGTGTGATACATCATCATTTATTTAGGATGTGTTTCATTTGGCGCTCATAATTCTCGTGAACATTATTAAATTTGTTTTTATTTAACATTTGATAAACAATAAGGATAAATTAATTTTATGAACGTTGCGAGGATTGCGAGCATCGAGCGTCAGCGTGAAAAGGCACCTTTAATATGTTGATTGCGCATGCTTGATGCCGCAATTGTGAATGACATCAGGAACGATCCAATATGGCGGGAGAGGCTAACAGAGGGAGTGATTGTGTACTAATTCGACGAACGAAATTTAAACGTTTCGATGTTATCTTATAGACTAAAATTGTGGAGGTTATATAACAAACTGCCAGGAAAAGCACTCGGGGAGTATCGATTACTGCCATTATTTTTCATCCTCGGAGCTGCTTTGGAATATTCCATGATCCACTGGCAAGTTGGAGAGGTTAACTTCTACAAAGTGTATAAGCGTCGAAGGGTAGAGGAATTGGTGGAACGAAGACTAAGGCTGGAGGAACAGGCCTGAAGACAATTTTCGCATCAACTTCCTATTGAGATATCACATGATGATGTCTTTGTCACGGTACATTGTATTTTGTGCAGCAGCACTGGTTACAATGCTGACTGGCTCGCAGTGCGTTCACGAGATCTACAAACCGCTTGATGACTTGGAGGATCTAGTCGAACAGAAGCTAAAGGAGAGGCGGAAAGAGCTGCAGAAGAAATAGTGCTAGAGAAGAATGTATCTAATGTAATAAATTATTGTTGTTTTTATGAATGAAAAATTAATTAATTTCATCCATAGTAGTTGCTAAAAATTTCTAGCCATGATTTTACAGTACTTTTTGTGATAATCTATTTTTCAGTTTATGGGTTAAATAAAGTTCTTGTTATAATCAACTTAAGAACATGATGATGAAGTAGTAGAATATATTAAGTATTTGTATATTAGATCTTTATTTGTAAAGATTCTATCTATGCAATACAATGAAAATATTTATTGGCCAGAAACTTTTCACAACCATTGTATACTTGATCATACCTGCACAGCATGTCTCTCTACCATTCCCAGCATCTGTTGCTCCAACTTTTTCAGCCTGGATTGATATTTCTTCTTGGATTTCTCCAGAGTTTGGACTAGCGCTCTGAGGAGAGGAAAGAAAGTTTTATTTTTATTACAAGAATAGAGCACAAAATGTCATACTGTATTATTTATTTATCTAATTTTCAGACTGATAATTAATCCTCGACTAACGGGTCACTTGAACTTGAAACAAAAATTTTAGACAGTTGATACAATGTCTCTACGTTTAATATTATGATGTTCTAAATTGTAGAGAAAAAAAACTTTGAACTGTACTCTATATCAATCATCATAAGATGGAGCTTTACTTGCTTTACATTCTATTCTATTTAAAACAGATTGTTTTAGAACTTAGGTATAATTTTCATAGCTATAGTTAAGGATTAATTCTGTATATATATAAACCAAATGATGACATTTCATTTACTACTTGTATTCAGGATGTATCTGAAATAACGCCCATTAATCATATTGCGGTATTCCTAATAAAAATCTGAGTTGAAAAGTTTTACCATTTTGCAATTTTCTCAATATTTTTTTTAGTTTTTACACAATGAGTAAAATGTTTAAAATTAACGTATAGGACAACTTCAAGATATCTTTAAGAATTCTTTAAGAAACATCTTCGAAGTGTTTCCCAAAGAATACTGAAAGATATCTTAAAATTGTCTTATACATCGATTTTATCCGTTTATTCGATTTATTTTTTTAAAAATTAATATCTTGTTAACTTGCAAAAATTGCAAAATGGGAGAAAACTTAATTTTTTATTAGGAATAACACTGTGTGTTACAGAGACGTTATTTCAGATATACTCTATATATGTACAGCATGCAAATTTTCTGCAATAATCAGAGTAGGGCATGTATTTGGAGTACTTTTACTTAAAATACAGTTTTTGCAATACAAGTGTATTTTTCAGTAGAACGCATGAAAGGATTATTTGTATTTAAACTCGAAAGATTAAGAGAGTTTTATATATTTTGTAATTTAAATAATAAGATTGATTGTCAATCTTAGTATCTGAAATACAAAATACAATTGTCTTACCAATATTGTTTTTCGAATAAAAATATTCTAAATTACACGCCCAATCCTGGCAATAATTACCCATTAGCTCTTTTCAGATCGTTGACGAGTTCAGCAGATTGTTGATGCCTGAGTTCGGAATTCTTGTTGACTTCGTCCAGGGTTGAGATCAATTCCTGCAGGCGTTCCTTCAGTCTCGCCTCTCTGCCTAATGCTTCGATCAATTCAGACTCCATTCCCTCACTTTCGTTGTCGCTCAAACCTCGGTCCTAAATATATTTTCAATTAGTAAGATTGATTTTCAGAAAGAGATCTACATACTTGTAAAAATTATATGTGATACCTTGTTTGTTGCCATCGCGAGCATAGCCTCTGCGTCGCTCAGCTGACCCTGGAGGTGCTGTATGGTAGCGTGTTGAGCTGCGATTTGTGTATCGCGCGCGTTTAGTTTCAGTTCTATCGTAGCACGTTCCTTCTCTAGAAGGAACACCCTGGCACGTAACTCAGCCTTGTCTTCTCGCATGGCCATTAGTTCCTAAAAATATATTCTTGAGAAATCAATTTGATAATGAACTTTTTTTTAAATATTTTTGATTTGTAATGTTTAATTAAAATCAATGTATTAATCACGCATAAGCGAAAAAAAATCTATATTCGATAAAGACGGTTCTTCGTGCTTATTCATATTTCTTTTTGTGAATTTGTACAATTTCAATTCAAGCTGATTATTTATTAATCATCATTTTGAAACACAGCCTAAACCGAAGTATCACAAATAATTTGATAATTTTTATGCTTATAGACATCTTAAAAGAATTTTAATACAAAATCTGTGAATAATTGCGAAAAATATTATGTCGGTCGAAAAGAAAATATAATACTTTTATGAAATTTATATGCACCAAATTCCGAGTTGTACTCTTACTTGTCTATTTTATTTGTGAACTTTATTTGAATAGCGAGAATCCTGTACTGTTTTTTTTATTTAAAAAATGTTAATTTATTAAAAACAATGTTCTCTTGAGTTTTTAATTCTTTTTAATTAGATATGGACCTGCATGAGCACAGCAGTTTCCAAGTCGAGTTTTCTGGCCTCCGCTAAAGAGATGGTGTTCTTTGAGTTCAAGGGTTCTGCATGTACGCTCTCTAGTTCGACTGCCGTCGATCTGACCATTGTACGTTCTCCCTTCAATCTACCTATGTGCCTCCTGAGTCGTTGCTCATCCTCCACGTTCCATGTTATTTCCGATCTATCAGAAAGGCATTCGTGATAAAAATTACACACATTACGCACAATGTAAAATACCTACTCGTCCGATAAGACCATGCTGTCTTCCCATGGAGCACCCAACGTATTAGTACAGTCATTCTCGAGTCTATTTAGCACATGATAAGCAACGTTTTCGGCCGCTCTTCTATTATCGATTGTCACACTGTTCCTCTCGGTAGAAAGCGCAATTTCGCTCTCCAGCAGAGCGACTAGAACATCGTAGGCCTCAATCGCGCGATCACTGAACGAAAGTGCGAGTCGCAACGCCGTCGCATTCGATTCATACTTGCCGACTAATAAACTCAATCTGTAACACAGGACAAAAATGATTATTTTACATGTATTGTAGGATTTCGGATTGTGTCGTATATTTCAAGATCTTTTTCAAATTTCAATTTATATATAACTTGACAATAGTTCGTTCCTTAGGTTTTTTATACACATAAATAGTATATTATTTCAGTGTATTTTTTCGTTCTTTATATGTAACGATTTCAGACTCTCTATCATATTAGATATATATACTACAATAACTTTGTAATTGCCATAAGTTTATATCAATTATTGAGACCATTACATTTCGAAGAAATGTCAGTCTTGAATTTCTGTTGATATACCTTCATCA